CTCTCTCTCTCTCTCTCTCTCTCTCTCTCTCTCTCTCTCTCTCTTTCCCTCTCCTCTTTATGTTTCGAAAACTTGTTTGTCAGAAGTCGAAGTGCAACTAAGAAAAGCTAAATGGGGTAGATCTTAAGAAATAGATATCTTAGTGCTTGGGTATTCAAGAATCATTTAGAATTTCGACTTACTGTTTTGGCTTTCGAGTTTAGAATTTAACATTTGCAGGACAGCTGGCAGCAATGATATTTGCTGCCCAAAGAATAGCGAAAGAGGATCCAAGTCTTGCTGAAAATATTGGTCTGTTGCTGGTTGTAAGTGAAGAACTTGATCACATTGGCATGGTGGTATGTTTCCCGCAAAATATTTTCAAAATTCATGGATTACTATTATTATGAAAGTTTTCATAACAATAATAATTGTTGAAATAGTAATTGTTATGAAACTTTTAAAATATCGCTTAATTCTTCATCTCCTTAATCATCTTTTCATGAGAGGAGTAGTGAAGGAAGTACAGTTGACAGAAAAGAAAGGGTATGAAAAACTCGATTAATTTCTCATTATCATTTGTGTATCACATGTGCCGTTTTTCAGGAAGCAAATAATCTAGGATTGGTTCCGGAATTTTTTATGATCGGTGAACCAACCGAATTAAAATTTGGTCGTTTACAGAAAGGAGCAGTGAAAGTAAGTCACATTACATGAGATGTAGGTCAGATTAAATGTTGGAGGAATAAGTTTGCCACTTTTCAGTGTTCAGAGGGACTTTATAATAAAGACTTCAGGCATAGGCATCAAAAATAACAAGCTTATTATGGCTAGATTTTAAGTTAAGAAACAGGTCTTTGACATCCGTAAGATGCCAAAATTTCAGGAAAGTGATTCGTGGCGTCAGTAAGTTTTCTTGCTGCTGGTTTGGCACCCAAGTCTAAAATTACACCTTTTTAGACGGTAATATATTAATTGCTCATTAAGCTGCCTCACAGACTCCAAATGGTCATATCAGTAAGTTATGACTTACTGCATAGGTTTCCAGGGACACAAGGATACACTTGGGAAATAATGCCTTGTTAAGCCATAATAATTGAGTTGAACGATAACCTCATAAAAAATTCCAGGACTGTCTCTATGCTCAGAGAAAAGGAAAATTGACCGTTGTCCATCTTTTACATTTTACCAAGCAACTTAATTTCTTCCGTTCCAAGTTTCTGTTTTTGAAGTATTCTGTCCTTTTCAGGTAATATTAAAAGTTCATGGAAAAGCGGCACATTCTGGTTATCCTCATCTGGGTGATAGTGCTATCGATAAGCTGCTGGATATTCTACATGATATCCGAACTCACGAGTGGCCATCAGACAAAACATTTGGTCTGCACCACTTATTGTATTTGTATAATTTGAAGAACAATATCCAGCGTTTGTTGCTGTCTTCTAGGTTCTGGTTACTTTTTCTTGCAGAAATTTCGGGTATAATGCAGTTATGGCAGTTACAAGAAAACTGTACTCGGTTTTCTCACATATATTTCCAAAAATGTTGGATTAGTCAATGATAGACTTTTTCGCAAGGGATTGAAACTATAATTTATGTCAGGATGATCCAGTTAATTTCACTTCAATTCTTTGCCATTTTTCAAATGAAAACATATTATCAGGATCAACAACCGTTAATATTGGCCTTATATCGGGCGGCGAAGCGTTAAATGCGTTGGCGGAACATGCTTCGGCAGCCATTTTCTTCCGCGTAACTACATCTACTGCTGATATTTTGAAACAGTTGGAAATTATTGTTGATGGACGTGCCAAAATTGACCAGTCATTTGGCAAAAATGAACCAATATTTCTCACAGGTATTCAACTTTTCCTAAGGACTCAAGGACATATATAGTTGGTATTTTTGAAATTATTAATATGCAGTCTTCTACTTTTCTTACAATTAGAAAATATTGAACTATATTAATTATGGTCTATTCAATCTAGTAGCTTTAAACTGAAATTTAACCGAATTTTTCTACACACTTTATTTTACATACACACTTTATTTTTATTCTATATTCAGTCAAGATTGCTTTTTTCTAGCTCCACCACCACCTTACGACTCAGAAGTGGTGGCATTCAATACCGATTTACCTTATTTCATAGCACGTGATAAACTGAAAGCAGCGTACTTATTTGGAGCAGGTTCGATAACAAATGCGCATTCCAAAGATGAGCACATTCTTGTGGAGGATCTTAAGAAAGCGGTCGAAATTCATGTTTCTATTTTTAAGTATACTCTGAAGACCGCAAATACTTAACCAAGCGAAAAATTGATTTTAGGAGTTATAGGACCATCGATATTGGAAATTTGGTGTCTTATGATAACAAACAAAATACATTTTATTTTGATGATTTGATATACTTCATTTTTATCTTCTCTTTTTAAATACTTTTTCTATATTTTTTAAGAATTATAATGTATGCATTGGGCCATTCTGCTCAGAATTTAATTCCAAATGGGATTGAAATCACATTCGCTCGGAACCTTATCTTTTCGATTTAAATTTTGGTTCGAAATTATTGGGATTTCGTAGACTGCCTCGTCACTTCTGCACTGCTCTCTGACGTTTAGATTTGGTTTTTTGTTTTTATATAATTCTAAATAATTCAAAAACAAACGAAAGACCGAATTTAAACGTTAGGGAGCAATGCAGAAGTGACCAATTCTAATAAAAACCTCATTATTTTGTAACGAAATTTAATTCTATGTTCATTATGTTTTCCGTACTCATCTTCCCAGTTTGGTCAAGTGTCGTTTGTATACAGTATACTTTAATTATAATCCTCACTGGGTTCATCTGTTTTCTAAAAGTGTTGCTGAAATAAAATTTACGAAAAATCGTAAACATTCGACTTTGTCAATTCAAGTTGGAAAGTTTACTTGTCATAAGAAAAAGGTAAAGATTTACGGAAAAACTATGTATCGAGTCTGGAATCTAACCCTGCTTATAACCTATTCGTGTTTTGGTGAGGGATTCATTTCCATCAACAGTAATCTGCTGTAAGGATGAAATCGATTAACTCATCCTTGAGAATTTGCAGTGCATTTTATATCGTAAATTATGGGAAAATGATTTCAGCTCATAAAGAATAAAAGTTTGGAAAAAATTAGACTTCTAGTCTGGAATCAGCCAACTGAATCACCACTGGGAAAATTGGGTTGACGTTGACTTTGACTTCCCAGAAATGATCACTGTTATCACAATTTCCGTGCTTTCACCCAGTGTAATGATTGGTGTTCTATAGTTTCATCTCAAAAGTTTGAGTGGATTCACGATGATCTCACTTTCATCGCCTGCATCTTACCATTTTTTTTGCATTACCTTTGACAAAGTGGGCTAATTGGAAAAGAGAAACAAGGTAAATGTAGATCTCGAATTTTGAAGTTCAATCTTGGAACTTTTGGCATAAGTCATTAGCTTTCTATGTTTTATGGAAATATACTAGGAAATTTCATTAGATTAAGCAAATCTAATGCGAAATGTTGGAGAGAACTCAAACATGAGTTATTGTTTACCAACTGATATTTTGGCAGTTTTAAGATATGAATCACGAAGAAACGCAAACTGAGGAGCTTGAAGCGCTTGGAATGATCTTTTCGAACGAGCTGGAAGTTGTGTCCAGCGAATACCCCAATATCGCCTTGAGAATGTCATTGCCGTCTCATCAGGTAGCTCCTTAAAATTATTCCTTCGTAATATTATTAACTCTTTGCTTTTTTCTAATGTGGTTTCAATAGATTCTACATATCATCATCCTTTACTTCCCAACAAAGTGAATCGTTTCATCGGAACTAATATTTTCTAAAATTATTAACGATTTTGCCACATAAAACGACCCCACATATAAACTAATGTTGTGCTGAAATGCAATGGATTCTAAATCGTTTTACTTGGCTTTGTGAAGGTACTGCTGGTTTCCAGAGTTCTATGACGTGAAATTTCATGTGTCATACGTAATGCGGTTGTCTGCAGATTAATTTGTCGAAATGAGGGAATTGATGGTTCAAGTTTTTATATTTGGTCCCCATTGCTTTCGCTCTTGAGCATTTTTCGATTTTAAGGGGAAAGATTTTTCCTCTATGTTCGAAGTGACGTTAAGCCTTCGGTTGTCAGCAGATTATCCGGATGTTGTACCAGAAATTGAAATCTCTGGGTTGGAGTGTATATTCAGTAGTAAACGTATTGAAAAAGTGCAGAGAATATTGTGTGGTGTAGCGCAGGATAATCTCGGTATGCCAATGGTATTCACCATCGTATCAGCTTTGCAGGTTTTTGTTACTTTGCAAAATTTTGTATTCATCTAATTGCAGAGGGAAATTGTGGTACTTTTTCCACTTCGTCTTTTGTTTCAAAAAAAAATGAAAGGGGGAGTTTGACGACCAACACCTCGTGTATCAACCATCAAACCATCCTTTTATACTTACTTTTCCTCTCAACTGCTCGAAGGAACAGTTCTCATGGGAATCAAGATATTTTATCTTGATTTTATAGGATGAAATTGGATATTTAATAGAAGATTTAGAAGCCGAAAAAATAAAAGCAGAGAAAAAAGCGGTGAAAGAAAAAGAAGAGCAAGAAAGAAAGAAATTTGGAGGTTTTTTTTGTTTTTCATTTTAGTATTGTGGGAAGATAGGCGTGATGGTATGGAAATGTTAATTCTAACTGTTTAAACTTTTTCCCGCCAAAATTTACAAGAATTAAAGCCGATTTATCTAGCAAATCTTTCACAAGGATTAGACAAAGTATTGAAAGATTAATAGTATAAGAAAGTTACCTTATCACATTTCTGAAGCATTTTATCCAGTTTGAGTAGCGTTTTGAGATGTTTTCTGTTGCATGTTATCATTTAAATAATTTCTACGATAGTATGGAACTACAGATATATACTTTAAGTGAATTCGTTGATCAGTTTTTCATGCTGAAATTAGTCAACTTGCGCGTTCCTTATGAAAATAGGACGGTACTTTGTTGTTTATAATTTCATCATTTTGGCACTAAATTCTAAATAACTTATATTTAAGGAAAAAAGGAAATCTGAAGAAGTCTAAAGTTGTGTAATCTTCATGTTTCTTAAGATTTCGGGATTCTTCAAAGTTATCCAGTGGCTATTATTTCCATACAAGTTATTTTAATGAGTGAACTTTCAGAAGGCAATAGAAAATGAAAACGTTTTAAAAAATCGTAAAAGGGAGAGTAGGATTTTGGCTATGTTTCAGTTTTCTACTCCAAATTGTACCCATTTTCTTTTCAAAGGAAAATGTAACAGAGATGATTGTATTCACCGACTGTTGGCATTTCTTTACCGTACATTAGTGAAGTAATGAATTGTCGTTCATCTGTTGATTGTATTGCCCTACCTTTTAGATTTTATTGACTGCAGGAGCATTAAATGTTTAGTGTGAGGAGTCCAGTGTGTTTAAGATGCTGTAGGGTATAAAGGCAGTAAATGATTTCGTTAGTACGAGAAACGAGAATTACTACTGCAGTTATTGCTGTTTTCGCTGCCTTTCCTGCAACCACCAAACTGGTGTGACACGAAATGACAAGGATAACTGCATTTGAATACCATGCTTCTCGCGTCTCTTTTCGCATTCCTACATTCTCTTTTATTTTCTCTCCATTCTCTGTTAATACTATCACTTTTGCTACTATTTCTACCACTATCTGGGGTATAATTTGGACAAAATTGAACTATAATAGTTTTTGTATGACGTCTCACACGTTCCTCCTCTCTTTGATTTATTACCCAGTTTTTTTTGACTGCTTTATTCATCTCCATTTTCGTCGTACTTCTTTATAATTGAAGTGTTTTCTTATTGTTCTTAATCATTATTTGGTTTATAAGATAGAAAAGTAATTTATTGGTGAATCAGAGGATTTGAGTCTTAAAATCTTTAAAATTATGAAAATGGTTGTAAATGCGACCGGTTTTCTACGGCTATGGAAGTTGTGATTTCGGCAGTATTTTATGAAGTCTTCTCCAAGTTCTGTCCAATTTGCAGGCACTCGAGTAACTCCCGAAGCGTTTCTAGCATGGAAGAAAAAATTCGACGCCGAAATACGAGCTGTCGAAGAGAAGGAGAAATGGGTGAAATTTTGTTTTTTGTTCTTTTTTTTATTCAGTTTGGAGTCGCAGCAATTGTTTTTCAATTTGTTTTGTTTTTGAATTCCAGTGAAACTTTTTGAAATTTCTAAGGATTATTTAGATTTTCTTTCCCACATCCTTGTTTTTTACCTACATGTTAGAAACTGAGCATGAAATTCATACACCAACATTATCATGATTCCTAGCACGTCAATACATATAAAATGCATCAGTGCGCCTTGAAAAATTACATTTTGTGGATTCTTTATGAGGTAAAAGTGAGAATGATCAGTCTGCTTATTTTAAAAAGAATTGATAAGAGGTGAAAATTTATCCCCGGCTTCTGTGTAGAAGATGGCAAATCGATGGAGTTTTACTACAAGGGCATTTTGCTGCCAAGCTTCTTTGCAATAAAAAATGATATGGTGACTTTGCAAAAAGATGATGAGCTGTTTGAGGGAATTCAGCTGAACCCAGGAAGCTTATTGCCGTCAGTCGTATATATTAACTGAGCAAACCCTTTTTTTTTATAGAATTTTTCAAGAATGTAGGCGGTAAACATATTTGTAATTATTGTTAACATTCGTTTGATGGATTTATCGAAGGAAATCGGAACGTTTTTGTTTGCACAGGGTACTCTGTTGCGAAGCTATGCGTCTATGGCAATAATTATAACGGTCAATTCCCAACCGACCTTGAACTTCTTCGTGCCATTACTTTTCTTTATCCCAGATACTACTGAAATGCTAATAAACTATGTTATTCGTGAAATTAAGGAAGTCAAGAGGTCTGATTTTATTTCACTGGCAGTACCAAGTTGTATACGTCGCATATTCTTCCCCGAAGTTTTTTATCCTCCTATACAACTGTGTTCTGAAAGTGATTGTAAAGTGTTACAGAAAATTTTACAATTTTTGAGTGCAGTTGCACAGAGAAATTTCCTTCTGAATTTTTCGAATAACAGATTTTTCCTGGCAGTTTTCATAATTATTATTATATGATTAATGAATCAGTTTATTAACTTTAATGCTGATGACAAGTAAACCTGTATTAAATCTATTGTTTAGAAATAAATAAACTTAAAAACTTATTTCCAAATTTTTGAGTGTGAAAAGGACTGCTGCGATTAGTGATTATAGTTGACACTTGTTTTGAAAAGTGCTCATAGTATCTACAATGCTTTTAAAGAAAGTCATTACATATTTTTGTATGTATGGTATGTAGTTATGAAGAACGACCTCTAGTGTGTTGATTCTTTCCAACGGACATAGACTTCAAGTTAATGTTGTATACTATTATCTGCTGGAAAGACACGTCTTCCACTTTCCCACATTATCTAGTCTTTTGATGCTAGCCATCATTCGATCATTCGTTTACTTTTTTATATTTAGTAGTAAGTAGTTTTTAATAACACAATTTTTGCGTTCTGTAATCGGGATTTAATTAATTCAGACCGATTCATCAAATTTTTGAGATTTCTCAAACATGCGATTTATTTCATTTAGAGAATCGAAAAATGGGTTTTTTTTTTTTTCAGATTAATGAAGTAGAGAGAACTCGAAAATTAACGGGTAAACAGTTATTCCTTCGTGATTCAACGTTGAATTTATCTGATGTAGCACTTATGCAAACAGCAGGCAATGAAATTGAATTCGATGAATCACTCTTCGATGAGGTTAGTATTAATTAAATACTGTTGCAGAACATTAGTTTCAAGAATGGACGACTGTAGTTGTGTAGTTTTTTTTGTGTAGTTTGAAAAATGGATGACTCCACTGGTAAGTATCATATACAAATAAAGTATCATATACAAATATATTGTACATATATACATAATCTTACCAAAACGAAGTCACAGATGACAGATGTTGTTACTTGTGAAGTAGACGGTTCTGATTGGAAGTTTAACAAAGGTAAATTAATGTAAAATTAGTAAGAACTTTGGAACTTTGGAATCTACTCAGTAAGAACTTTAGCGACCTCATTTTTTAGGTAATACTTTCTTTGGTGATGTCTCCGCTAATTTCTTTGGTTTGAAATTAGTTTTGCTCATAAAAGACTTTTCACATGTTTAGCAAAACTAATTAGGATTTTGTTTTAAAATAACTAAAATACTTAAAATTTATAGCGCAGATGACAAATGTTGTTACCTGCAAAGTAGACAGTTCTGATTGCAGGCTTAATAAAGGTAAATTAGTGTGGAATTCATCTACTTAGTGAGAATTTTGGCGACCTGCTATTTCAATGTTCAATTGTCTAACTGTTTAAGAATTTCTCAAACATTTGAATAAAAAATATAAAGATTGGTACTTTTCAACTAGATTTAAAGTTTCATTTCGTCTTCAGCTAGGGCAGTGTTTCATTCCACAACTTCTGGCCTTTTTTTCAATCATATTTTTTACTGATTCATTTTTTTACCACACCATATTTTATGCGATAATACTAATTTGTCTTAGTTTCCTTTCCTGGCTTTCGTTTTCCCTACTTTTCTCCGCGTTTCTGAAAGTTTCTATTTTTGAATTCCTTAGCTGCTCTATCACATGGAGTTTAAGAATTTGTAATAGGAACTTTCAGAAAATTTCACATGAAGTGTTCAAATGTTTTTTTAGAAAGTTATTCAAGTTCATGTATTGATGCTAGATTATATTATAGAAATGCACAGGAGTTTCCTTCAGTGTTCAAAGTTAAGTAGTCAGCAGGCAGTCTTATCGATTTTTTCTCAGATAACAATCCTTACCTCACGTATATTGCCCTGTTACCTTTTTTGAAGGGCATGTAATTATAAATTCAAAAATAATTTAAAGTTCATCAGAGAAGGCTAAGATTTCCTCGAAGTTAATGAACAAATCTGAAACTCATGTTATATATAAATAGGACATGATTAATCCTCTTGCCTTTGTTTAGAAAATAAGCATACATTTGTATACATTATTATCCATCTGTATTTTGAAAATATTCAGGATACTGGTGGTTTAGATTCCGGTGAGAATGACTAAGAACAACAATGAAGGGAATTATTGCTTCAGATTCAGGTGCAACCATTTACACGATTTTGAAATTTTACTTTTATGTTTGGATTTTCTTCAACTCTCATATTTTAGATTTGTTGTTAGCTTGCATAATTTCTTTCTAAATATAATCTCCTCATGCTGGCGTATTTTAGAATACAGTCTGAAAAAAAAAAAACTTGCATCGGTGATCGAGCGCTGTCATCTAGTTCTTTCGCCGTTCTACTCGGAAATTTAAAACCGTTTGTTAAAGACAATTTATTTCTTTTGGTATGTTTTTCCATCGTTCAAAATTAATTTATTTGGATTTCGTGTATGGTGTTAATTGATTATTTGTGTTTTTAAATCATGCAGTTTCGAATGGTATGAATATTGTTACCAACGTTATTGTATAATTATAAAAGTTATAATTGCCGGATAGTCGTGTTAAGTCATATTGATTGTATAATGCAGCGCATGATCCTTTTTACCACTAGGGATGAAGTCAAGTTACATTCAAATCTGTTATTTTTTTGAATTTTTCAAATTTTTAATGTTTCTTTCTTTACTCCAAGGACAAACCCATATTCTATTTTCTTGTGATATGTTAACATAAATAATTTCTATTAGTGACAAAGTAATGCTTGTAAGCTTTTATAACTTAGCTTGTTTATCGACATGATACTTTTCAATGCACTTATGGAGACTTTCATGGAAGCTCGTTTATCTCTTGGTTTGTGTGCTTCTATTACTTCTTTTATTTTTTGATATTTATTCCATGTTCCGGTAATTCAAAATAAATTGCTGAAGCCTCTAATTTTAAATGTCGTATATAGATAAAGAAATCAAATTTTAGGTAATGTCCATGAACTTCATGCCTCTAAAGGATCCTATAGTTATTACATTGTCAACACCAGCGATTTCTTTGAATGGTCAAATTTGGAGCCGTATTACCGATATATGTATCTTACATAGGCGAGAGATTTTGAGATTCGCTAGAAACTTCCTAATACTAATCTTTTACTTATTTCCTGATTTTCTTCCAAAAAAAAACTAAAAGTGTTTATATCGCCAAATAGCTATTTTTAATTCTAAATCTTGGTGAAAGAGTGAGATTTTGAAAGTTTGGGTTGTAAAGACTCCCATGTAGATGCAAGGGATTAAATAATTGGAATTGGAACAAGTGATGAATTACGTTTGGAATAATTAGGCTGATAATTCTTTCAGCAATTAAATTTTTATGAAATAGTAATAATTGATGAAGTCGTTAACTTTGTGTCCATTCAATGTTTGAGTGTTTTTTCTTACCGTTTTGCTTGATGTTTTTTGAAAAGAGCGAGAAATAAAAGAGTTTTTATTTAAATGGAAAGCATTTTTGTTGAACAACGGTTGCTTTAAACCAAAATGGCTATCCTTTTCCTAATACATTGTTCTGGAAGTTTAGCGAACCGTAACTCGAGCGTTTTGTATGGTCTTGGGTTGATAATGATTATTCGTAAAGTGATAGCCGGTATTGTTTCGGTATCTGTCTATTTAAATATAGACCATTACCAGTTTAATGTTTGAGAACTTTGTTAACAGTAACGTTTATGTGAAGGAAGAGGTTAGGTGTGAAGCGGTTGAGTTTTTACTGTTGATCACAAATCCAGTTTAAGATATTTGTTTCTTTACGAAGGGAATAACAAAACAGATTGTCAAAAAAATTTTTTTTGACATATGTTAGATCTATTTAATGGATTTTGCGAACTATGGGACATGAGCTGATTTGTGATCAAATCTTGCTTTATTCAAACGGCAAATTATGAGTTAGGAAGCATCAATCACCATTTAACAGCAAATGTGATTTCTGATAAATCATCCAAGATGATTTGTTCGTGTAATTACGAAATACGTGAGCATCCTGCTGTGTCCGCTTTCTCTTGATAAGGTCTTAGAAGTGTTTAAGCGCTGCAGATATGTTTTGAAGAATTACAATTTATATTTGTTTACAAACTAAATTGGCTACGGGCTTAAAGCTTCTTGATTTTTAAAATGTCTTTTGATAATGTGACAGTAGCGGAATCGATGGATGACGAACTTTAGAACATTGCATGTTACGCCTCCGCTACATTGGCAATAAATAATGGATAAATCCTGTCCTCTTGGCAGTCGCCGTTTTTTACCTGGAAAATTATTCTCCTTAGATGATAGTTCTGGTTGTAAGCTCAAAGTGCTTTATCATTTTTGCATACTGGTCTTTTGCTGTCAGTTTTTACCGTTTGACATTTATGGATTTATGGGAATTGATTTGTTTGAATGTTTGTTACAAATCCTCTTTTAGGTGTACTTTTGTTGACGATGGCGACTTTCTCTTATACCTTTCGCCGGGATATCCCTCAGCTAAGGAAAGACTGGCAATCGCATTATTTTGTTGTCTTTATTTTGTATTTGCAATGGTCGTTTTTCCCATAAATCGGAAAGAGTTAAAGTGGAGAGATGGAAGTCCTGTGTTGATATTAAAAATTTTGATCTTATATTCATTCAGTTACTTAGGAAAGATTTAAATCCAAAGTAGGCAGGTATTTCGAGATTCCAATTCCTCATTATATGTTGGTTGTCACTTTGTTTTGATTTGTTTGTTTACGAAATCATTATGAAACTAACCATAGTATATGTGAGCTACGTTCTTCACTAATGGTTTGGTGTAGGCATTTAGTAAACAAAAATTATTGTTTGCAGGGTTGAATGTCGTGGAAGTCGGACGGTCCGCCGTCCAGTCATGGTTCATATTCTCCATCATCTGGACAATATAGCTCAGGTGTAAGTGATTATTCTATTAAGCTTTTGCAAAGACTTTTGGGGTCCGGAATGATGGGTAAGATTATTATCTAAAGACTTTGGTAACTATTAGAAGACGTCAAATATCGTAGTCTCCGGATGTTTTATGTAGTACGCCTCTCTTATTGGTAACGTCGCAACGTACCGAATATTGATCTCAAAGATCTCAAAAGAAGAGATTCATCGTATCAGATATGCATCATACATTGTGATCTGCCCATTATTGCACTGTGATGGAGCAGTAATTAGCAATTATATGGACAAAATAAATGACAGTTGACTGGGAAACCTTCTTTCTGCTGTTACTCCTTTTTTATTTTTAAACTTCAGCTCCTTATTGCAGTCTAACGGTCGGAACAGTGCTGCTCGTATTTTCCAGCCGCTGCATACTCTACTTCCTACATTTTTACAAGTGACTTTATTTCTTGATTCACTCCACTTCTTTGTTTTGAGCAAGGCATCACTTTTTTTTCGTCGATATATTTTGAACTGTAGTAGTGAAAATCCTTATCATCAGTTCAGCTTCTAATTCTTAACCAAATACGACGTAAATAAAGAGGAGAATGCATATGCTGTTATTAACTTATTAAAAGTAATTATTCCAGGTGAAGTCGAAATTTGACTCAGAATGGCGACGCTTTTCGATACAGTTTCAGGATAGCAAACCTCCATCTTATGAAGAATTTCGTACATTGGTCGAAGGCCTTCATTCTTTACACAATATACCTTTTACACTGTGCTATACAAGCCATTCTGGAGACCTCTTGCCTATTACTAATGATGATGTAAGTTATTTCTTTTCCTCATGGAAGAGTTAAGGGTGATTTAGATAAGACATTGTTTTGACTTGCAGAGATTTGCCTTTTTTAAATACTTTTGCAAACACGAACACTACAACACAAATTCTATGAATGAATGAAAGTTTAGCCGATAGTAGAAAAAAAGAGTTCGATGATATTGAAAGTGAAAGTGGTTTAGTTAAAATGTAAAATTAAAGTTGAAATGTATTCCTTATTGTCATTTAGTACAGTACTTGTTTACACAAAACTGTTTTGCATAGAATTTCCGAAAATCTTTTGAATCGGCCCGTCCAATACTGCGGCTGTTGATACAGAGAAAGGGCGAATCCTGGGAAGAGAAATATGGCTACGGTACAGATACAATTGATCGACGACGCAAAGGGTTGTCACTGTTGATACCAACAGTTTCCAGGCCTCCCAAAAGAACATACAATATTTCAAACCCAGAAGATTTTCGGCAGGTTAATCTTTGTTCTTGTTTTATAGTTTTCTGACACATTCTTTTCCGAAAACTCACTTTAAAGACTACACCTACTCACTTACATATTTCAAATAATATTTCTTCCTTTTTCGTAGATTTTGTTTTTAACTTCCAGCTATTTTGGATTTATTGATTGCAACTTCTAAATGAGATTAGTTTAAATCAATATCTATTTCAGGTATCTGCAATAATAGATGTGGACATTGTTCCAGAAGCTCATCGTCGAGTACGACTTTGTAAACACGGCAGTGATCGTCCTTTAGGATTTTATATTAGAGATGGTAATATTACATAATTGGATTAAATGTATTTAACGTAGTAGCATAATTTTAACACACTAATTTAAAATTTTGCTTATCATGGTAATTCAACTTCAGATCAATAAAATCAATTTACTTAGATATCGTTTTAGGTCTTTTTGTTTTAATTTCCGATCTTACGTTTTTTTTTCATTTAATAATTTTAATTGGAGTTAACGGTGGTAAAATTGGGAAAATAAATTATGTCATTCAAACTATCTTTTCTTTCAGGAATATAAAATTTAACACATCATAATTTCAGGAACATCAGTAAGAGTAACTCCACAAGGTGTGATGAAAATACAAGGGATTTTTATCAGCCGTCTCGTTGAAGGCGGTTTGGCTGAGTCTACCGGCTTATTAGCGGTTAATGATGAAGTACTGGAAGTAAATGGTATTGAGGTTTGTTTTTAATATTTCAGAATAATTTTTTCCTTTAAAAAATGAGGGATAGGATATTTGTAAGTTCTTTTGTTCTTTTGCACTTCCAGTCGATAATGTTAATGTCGTCCGGTCTTTTTTGTTTTGCGTTTTATGCATTGTTTTTAGGTACAAGGCAAAACTTTAGACCAAGTAACAGATATGATGGTGGCAAATGCTCAGAATTTGATAATTACTGTGAAACCAGCGAACCAAAGGAACACCCTGCAACGTGGCGTACATTCACGTATCTCAGATTGGACTGGGACTTCTGAAGATACATTAATGGCGCAGAAGCGAGATAATAATAATGATATGCACGGCACGAACGGGTAGGTTTTCAAACGTAAATAATTGAATGCGTTTTATATAACTTTTGAATAGTAGTCTGCTAAACCTAGTTTTTGTTGGTATCAATTCTTGCATCTCTTGAAAAAGAAAACGATGGTCCCGACATTCAAAAATGTTTGTCAAACTAAATAAATATGTAAATTTCTTTTCTTCAGTGAATTGTCAAGGAGATACCGAAATAACAAGGAGCTGAGTGATGAAGATTCCGATGAAGATATTGTTGTTGATCACACCAAAGAAAACACTGGTAACACAGCATCAGAAGGCCATCATCACAGGTACCAAAGAAATCGATAGATTCCATTTGTTTGTCAACAATATACTGTGAACCTTTCACTTTTATTAATCATACCAACTGACTTATGACTCAACTCCTCCGGCTTAGGAGTTTAACTAAAATTAATTATTGACAAAATCTCAAATTCTTGTGATTCGTTTTCCTGGTTTGGAAAGTTGAAGTGTATTTGTACCAAAAATATTCCATTCATAATTAAGACGGTATGCAATACAGTGTAACGTTACTGTTTTCTCCAGAAGAGAAATTCCGGACTCTTTTGTTAACTTTTCATTCGTATAACTTGTCAAAAATTTACATTAGATTGGGTTTTTTGCGTTCGTCTGTTTGTCATTCGCGCCTTAATTTTATAATTTATTTTTTGTTTTACCCCAACCGCTGTGCCTTCACGCTTTTTATATCACTTGATAAAACACTTTGTGATTTTTTTTTCAAATTTTTAAAATTCACTTTGAGCTGTACTTGTGGGATGATTGATTCTTTTGAATAATGTGTTTTTTTTTTTATCCTTTTTTTTAAGAACAGGTCAATTCAGTGCGCGTGTTTTAATTGTGTATTTCGAACACATTTCTGCCTTTCATAAAAGTACATATTGTCTACCATTTGATTTTGTCCTTTCCCCTCTGAAATTTGTTTTTCAAATGCAAAAGTTTTGTCTTAGAATATATAATATAGCTCACCATCTCTTTTGAATTGACTGGATCTGTTTTGGTTGGGCCGCGTTCTTCATCATTCAGGTGGAAAAATTTTTTTTTCCATTTTGCTTACTGTCCCTGAACCTGTTGTAGTTTCTTGAGTTCATGTATAATATCATGATTGTATTATACTGCATATTTTCAAACTTAGATATTTATGCAAGACCATCCGTTAGAAGTGTTTGTTTTGCTCTTTTAGTTATGATGGAGATTATATTCAAATCACTAAAAGTTTGCACTTGGTATTTATATTCGCATGACATTTGGTGGAAGCCGTCACAAGTTCTAAACGAATTCCAACTCCATGCAGTCTACTGTTGAAGAGATTGTTTTTCAAAATTTCTTCTAGAATACTACTTGCATCATTGTTACGATCATTGTTTATCCTTTTTTTGCGTATATTATCCTTGTGTTTCGAAAACATGGAGTAGGTTGCTGTGCCGAATACAACAGATAAACGTCAGATCATCCATCGTTGTCGTGAATAAATTTGCAACAGATCCTTTCCTAGTATGTCCCGCTGATCTCCAGTCCCGAGTTGTCTGTTGCTGACGCAGACTAGTGAAACTTTTGCGTGGTGACCCACTTGATATGGTCTCGGGCCGTGTTATGGACAGTTTTTCAGAGAGATGACAGATTAGTAGACTGTTTTGGAGTGTTTCGGTAATTGCTTCACATCGGTATACGGAACTGTTACTGAGAGTTTGAGCGAGATCCCGAACTCTCCCTCGTCCTTCAGAAAGTATTTTTCCCGGTTGTTCCATATTAAAGCAGTTGGAAAAACCGATGCATTTCAAAAGTAGGACGTTTATCGCGCGGTTTGTCGAGTCTATTTTCTAGGTGATTCATTGATATTTTCCGACGTTTGACAGGGCTCCTCGAGAGAAAAATTACTCCAGATGTTCCCAACAATCCTCTTAAAAGTGTATTTCATATATTTAGTATTGCATTCTCCTTCTTGTTCACTCAGTGACAGTGATGGATTCAATTCTTGGCTGCTTTTTCTTTGTATTTTCTCCGTATTACATTCTTGTAAAGATTCCTTTTTTTTATTTTGACAATGGGTTATCCGTTCCCTTATATTTGTGAACTGGTTTTCGTAGTTTTTTTTTTCAGATTTCTTAATAAGTTCCATATCTTTTCCTCAGTTTGCTTTTTCTCCATTCAAAATCTTATCATACATTGTTCCATACCGCCTTTTTTGGATTGCCATTTGTGAAGTTACTATAACCTACTGTTGACATACGTATTGTAATCTGAATATACCCAAAAGTGATGTTCCAGCCATATGCTGATTTATTTACTGTTTGTTTGGCCTTATCGTTTTCTTATCAACCCGTTTTATCGCCGTCGCCCACTTGCATCCCAGATCGTGAAAAGTTACATTCAGAGCCGTAAATACCCCACGTGGACATCATTTTTTCTACCGTATCGGTAATAACTATTTTGCAATGTTTATTATCATTTCACAAGAAGAAAATGTAGAAATATTGCCTACAGAAACTTTAGGAATACGTTTTTCGATTTTATTATTCAAAAAGCCACTTATAATTGATTTTTATTATTCTTCGCCATTTGAGGGACGTTCAGGACGACAATTTCGGCGATATATATTTCAATTTTGATGTTAATGGCCATAATTACTGCATTTTGAGGTATGTTATTGCGTTTCTTTCTTCGAAAATTGCTGTTAACGTTGACAATACTTTTCATTGCTGTATCTTAGAATATTTTCCTTATGTTTGTTTAAAAATCATGTACAGCAAGGGAGAGAAAGAGAGGAATAGTTGCTCGATTAGCGTTTTATTGATCTGCTGTTGGTCATGTGACGAATACTGCTGCTGAGTAAATAATTTTTATCGGCCCTTTGTTCGATGAGGATGGTTATGTTTGTCGTCTTTTTATGTATACAGTCAGGTCCATAAACATGAATTCTAAATGAAGACTGATGACTATTCTTTCATGACGGCTTTCATGGTTAAAAAATTCCCGAAACATTTGTTATGCGGAAAAAAAACAATACTATTGTCATTGACAGTGTGTGAAAAGCCTGATATATAGCATGGGATAAATCAAATAAGCATCCATATGTATCGTGCAGACAAAGTTAATTTTTAGATTTCGTCCTTGGTCGGAATCTTTGCAGATTATGAGTATTACCTCATTTTAATTAATAATTTCTAATAAATTTCTGTCCTACAGAACTATGCGTATTGTTTTTTAGAAAAGGAAGTAACATAATTGATTGCGAATTAAATGTAGTTGAACACATGAACACATTCTTGCATGTGTTTATGCTCCAGCAATCTGTGCGATTGTTAAGGTGTTGGAGAGGAATACATGTGAGGTACGGCCTTCTCATTAAGGATTTTCGTTTCGTTCACCTCATTTCTGGATAAGAACCATTATTATGAGGCTTTCTACTGCTGCTAAAATATGTATTTTCTAAAGGTCATTTTACATCACTCGCTATTAATGCTGTGGCTTCTTAGAGAGCACTGTCAACAACCCAATTCATCTGAAGATGTTGCTGGATAAAATCTACTGCATTTTCTTCGTTTTATATTTTTTAAACTATAATAAACTGACGTATGAAAAAATTACCTCTCAGTTTTCTTTCTGTTGTTTCTTATAATTCGTTTGTGGAGAGCCTACCGCTATTTCCCATTCTCATTCGACCTCATACTTTCCCCTCACTATCGGTGGTCTATTGTTTTTTCCGGATCAGCTTAAAATGAAGGAGGTTATTTGTTTCAACAAGAATCGATTGCGGAGACTTATATGATAAGCATAGTGCTACTCTGATATCTGGCTTTAGTGTTAATTTGTTCAGGGTTTTTTCAATTCCAAAGAATTTTCAACTATGTTTCTGGTGAAAAATAGCAGCAGTATGAAGTGAATGTCAAAATAAGTACCTCTGGTTTGAGTTGACCTTATTTTGTTTGTAGGAAAGATTCGAACGCTTGTCAAAGACTAAATTTTTAATGACTTCACACTTTAACAGCTTCCCAGTGTAATTTCTCATCCTGAATAATTTTATCATTGTTTGACGAATTCATCAAGGACGATATTTAGTTATAGTAATAATTTATGGTGTATTATAAATGGTCGACAAATTTATCTGATTTCATTCAATTGGGTAATGCCACTTGCTTAAAAACATTCACGGAAATCTGTTATGTCTACTGGAGGCTTATTGCTGAACATTAGTACCATTTTTAAGATATGGACACGTGGTCTGTTCTCAGTGTGTAGAATTTCAGGACTGACATCGATTATGTTTGGAATTTATCATCAATCGATCAATTAAGTTTTTGTATTAATGCATAAGACTGTTCCTCAAGTAGTATCCATCAGAAGAAAAAATAAGGACCTAACTGATGTACAATGCTTGTTGACTGTTCTTGGGTGGCAGAATTTTCGTACGTAATACGGTTAAATTCTCCTTAGTTAGTAATTTATGGAAGCGTAATCTTTTTGACATTCGGACTCCGAAAACCTTTTAAATGAAAGCTGTGCTGTCACGAAGGCGATATTTCCTCTTAATTATAATTTTTCCATAGCGCATCTACGGTCAAAATGCAAACTTTTGGATATTAAATAAAAATTTGCTTGTATGCGTGCATTGCATGTTGTTAAAATGTTTCATGTCTATTTTATTTCTATTAGTGTTTTATGCTTTCGTTTTGGTTTTTATTTGGTATGTTCACTTGAACCTATACACGAAGTAGAGAAAGTATCAAACTAAAAATGGACTTTTGCCTACCAGGGTTCAACATTTTATCAGAGTTTATCCAGAATTTGAAATTACCAAATGTGTTATCAAGACACCTTCGATAAACTCAATCTTGTCCACACCGGTTGAAAGTTTTTTTCAAGTTTAAGTTGTTTTATTTCTTATTCACTCCATTGTTCAATTTTGGAAGAATAGAATGCACTATTGAAGCGAATTCATTAACATACAGCTGGATGTTATAAGGGGCTGTATCTCACTGAAGAATGAAATAATAAAAGGGCTAGGATCGAAGATAAGAGCTTATATTAATCACAGCGGGAATTCCAAGGCTTTCCTGACATTAATATATCTGGAGTAACTAAAGTTTCCACTTATTTTTTAGTAATACTGTCTTATTTATTTCTACTACTGACTCGTTGTAACACACAAATTGTCTAAAAACTACCTTAAAAAGCTTTAAAAAATTGATGTTAAAGATTTAGGAATCAGTAGTTTCTTTTTATGAACGACTGTGGGTAAAAAATTAGTGTTTGTGCCGGCAATGCACTTCTGAAAAAAACCTTTGCTGCTTTTTTTTCAGTTCTTAAGAACAGTTTCAGTTCCTTTGCTGCGTGACACTCGCTGGTGTATTACAACATGTCAACCTTCGCCATCTTTTTTTTCGTCTCCTTCGTTGACGCTTCAGGCGTATGGATAATTTTTTCGTTTGAAATTTTAAGCTTTACATTTCCTCATTTCCAGAATTGGTTGTTATCCGTATATCAAATATCATTGCACAAAAGGACCACGGAGAGATCTTAGCACTGAAAACTGTTTTTATAAATTTATTGCAGTTTTAAATTGCGGTAAGTACTTTTTCCACTTAGACAGTGACTCTGGACTATATGACACAGTGAATTGAAACGATTTTAAGTATTCTTCATTCTGAATAGAGTGAAGATACAATCTTTCACTCGTGAAGGCCTAAAGTTTTAATATTCTGGTAATGTTTCATAGTTTTTTTAAAAATATTTCTATTAAAAAATTTCGATATTTTGTGGTTTTTTTATTCAGTGGTTTTATTTAAGTTTGATTTGTAAAAATATTTTGCAGGACTGCCTTGTTTTCTGTACGGATTAACTGCACAAGCTTTTATTCGACATACTGATTACATTGTGGACCAAAATACGGGTCAGAAAGTTGCAGTTAAATTTTTGCTTGAAGAACTTCATAGCTGAGGTAGGTTTAGATCATTAGAACTTTTATTGTTTACATTCTTTTTGCTGCAGAAAATTCTCCATTCATTTATTATGTCCGTGCGTGGAAAACAAACTCATTTTTATGTGAATGTTTACAAAATAGCTCCTGTTGTATAGAAGTTTGTTGGAGACATCTAAGCAATAACAACCTCCAAAGCTGGGAAGCACTTTTATGGGACTTTTCTCCCTCATTGGTCTGCTTTGCTCCTTTTTCTAGTTCTTTCATTTAATTTGTTTCGTATCTCATATTCTAAAATTTTATTAAAACAAATTCTGAAAGAAATCTTTACATCTGCTTTGTTTATGTTTTCAAGCACAAGCATCGGTAGTATGAAAGTTTTCATTGAAATGATTCTTCCTCCGTCTTCTTCTTCGCCTTTGTGGAGGAAAGAGGAAAGAACTGTTTTGTAGATGGGATTAGGCTTTTTAAACGATTTTTTTTATGTCAGGACCTTATATCCATTCAGTCTGCAACAATTTGTGTCGATGAATTTTTGCGTATTTGCCGGTGTTTTTTACTGTGAGCTTCGTGAAGGCCACGCGCATAAGAGTATTAAAATGAGGAGTGATTTAATTGCTTGGAAGGTTCAGTACAGCGTGTTATAGTTAAATAGAACCTCAAAAAATATTAAACAGGTAGTCGCTTTGAGATATGACTAAAAATCATTGTCTCAAATGAAGTTTTAGTGTCAGTTTTCAAATACAACTTTAGTATCAAAAAATAGTATGTGTCTGTGTTAATTCAGGAAGCTAGAGAATTTGGTTGTGAATCTATTTGAAAATTAATATATATTGTTCAGCAAATCTATGCATTTCTTGTACTTTTTATATATGTTTATATTCCTATATCTGTTCATTTTTGCTTTTGTTTAGGTTGCACGAGATTGCAATTACCAGATGCCTTCTCCATCCAGTCCATTAGAATATCGGCCAACCCCTCATCTTGTTCTTATCATTATTTTCATTTTCTTTCCACTCATATATTTATGTGGTCGACTGGCTATCACATCATGTTTTATATTAGCATTTGTCCTTAAATCCATGTTTTCACCAATTTTGCATTTGTTTTACGGGAATGAATTGATTCCCTTACCACGGATCACTCGATATGTTTCACCAGTTCGAATACTGACAAATACGATGCAGGAAGTACGGGTAGAACAATCTTCGGATGAACAGGTGAACACTCACATTTGGCTATTATTCTTTCGTTCCGCATAAAATTAGCTGAGCACTCTGTTTTTGGAGAGGAAGCTTTTCGGACATATTCCTCATCTATTTTTGGGAATGTTCATTAATTTGTCACTTATCCAAAGCGGATTTTACGGAAATTGTGATCCGGCAACATAGTGTTGTTTTAAACTTTTTTTTTTTTTTTTTTTTGTTAGCTTACTGATGAAAGCGATAGGGAATGTGAACTAATCAGCACTGATGACTTTATCGAAGCGCAACCTAAAACTTCAACTAATATGCAAGCCATCCAATCTTCCGACCTAGAGATTCAAACAGGCTTGTCTTCACCAATTTTTTTGTCCTGCAAATTCAAAGTTTTATTTCGCTGGTCCAGTTTTATATGATAACTTGTCTTTTGTGTTTCTATCTTCTGGCTTCTTCGATTCCCTACCCCACGAAATAACTCATCAATTTTCGTTAGTATCGCTCGGGATCTTAACAAATTTGTTTTCTTTTTATTCACTAACACTAAGTTGAAACTGGCTTGATATACTATTATGGCATCATCAAGTTTGATGAAACCTTGTTTTATCTCAGGTTTCAAATGACTTTCAAGTTTATGATTTGTTTGTGCCCTACAAAACATTTTAAAAAGTTTTGCAGTCCTGAATATTTCAGAAGACCTGCATGATTCAGAACATGATTCTGGTAATGATGAAGACCACTCCGCATTATCCGTGATCTCAACAGCGACAGCTTCCACAGACGTGATGGAAGCGGGAAGTATGCCAAATCATGATAATTTTAATGGAAGTGTGCAGTGGCATCGAGATAATACTTCTTAATAAATAACGGGTAGGAATAGTCGAAGGCAAATCAACAGTGTGGTGCTCCTATTAATTAGGATTTTATTGTATATTTGTCTCTCAGAAAGCTTTAATAAGCTCTTGTCCACTTTACTGAAAGTAATTTTCAAGTTTGCAAAATACCTGATTAATCTTTTGCTGATATATTTATTATTCATCAGTACAGATTTCTTCTGATTTTATTTCCGATGAAATGTCTTCAACGGAATGAAGTGTTTATTTTAACATTTCAGAAAGATAGGTAATTCCTTCCAAACTCTTTGAGTGAAAACGCGACGGATACTCCACTCATATGTATGGATAAATGAAAAATTCCATGATTCCACCTGTATCGCTCAACCGTCTAGCAGTTCCCATCTTTTTCGTTTCGTGATTGTTACACTTTCACACAGATTGTTCCAGCTGAATTCCATTCTGTCCGGCAGTTTTTAGAAATATAATGATCTCTTTTATACGATGTAATGTTTCCTGATAAAGATATTATTTCGCATGTTGTCGCGACTTAAAACCGTAGAAGGGGTAAAGAAATGATTTTTCAGTCTAAAGTTGAGCTCTCACAATATGGAAGTAGCGCAACTGTAGAGATCTCTGTTCTCCTAGCTGGATTTGTGATTGCACATGCTTGTTTTTAAAAAAAAGATGATCTCATTATTGATTGCTGGAGAGGAAATGTTTCGGTTTTGAATCCTCAGTTGTTATAAAATGTGAATCTTTTATTTTCTACAGATGAGACATTGTTTAACCATTTTAAAAATACGAATAAATTAATGAGATGGAATTCGCCTGAAATGAAAATTCAATAACGGGGTAACTTCTATTGGTTCTAAAGCCTTATTCCATAGTCATGAGTTTCGAGTAGTCTCAGACTTGCCCTGTATGTCAGGAAATAAAGTACGGTTTGCAGAATGGCTGTTGGATGGCTGGCCGATTTCCCCAACAGAATTCCTCGGCGATGGGTGCCGGTGATATAAAGATCCATTTTATATTCGGAGGACGTGGAAGTGGAATACTTCCCACAAATATGTATTTGGATTAGCACTCACAGTTCATATAAAAAATAACGCTGTAGGTAAAAATAATGAGGAATATAAATCCAAGAAGCGAACCAAAAAACATTGCAAATTAAACCAGGAAAGGAAAAAGTTCAAAATCTAACAAAGATGAATACGGTTCGGTGAGAGAAAAAGTAAACCATGCGGAATACGAAGTCGTGTCAGAGAGGAAACAACACAAGTATATAAAACTTCCATCAAAATTACCCTAAAGAGTATTTAGGCACAGCGGAAGATGGACGGTCAAACTGTTTCAGAAGGAATATACGGAGAGCTATCAAACAAAAATAAACAGATATAACAATCCTTTGATGTAATCAACTATTTCCTGACCACCAAGTTTGGATTCACCATAAAAACGATCCACGAACGAGATCGGCACTTCTCCTATGCGATAATTTAATTTGCTCGCACGAAACATCATTTCCATCTGGAAAAGATAGTCAGTACTTCTTTTTTGTTAATGTTTTAGGGAAGAAACGAGATTAAAGTCCAAAGTCGTGTTAAGAAATAGTCTAGAAAGTTCTAATGGACACGAAATTTAAATTAACCTGGAATACATATCCTTTTGAAACGCTGTCTGCAATCAACCTTGCCAGAACATCCTTACGATACAGGCGAAAAGAACCAGTTAAATCAGAAACTCCGGGTCGAAGCAGAAACTAAAATAATAAAGCGGAGACTGTAAAAGTGATGAATATCCGTTTAAGAAACGAACCTGAGCTAAAAAGTTAGCACCACGACTGACGAATTTTCGTCTGAGATCCCAACCCGAAACACCACCGCCTCCAGCATAACGTGTGCCCGTTACAATATCATACTGAAAATAACATGATAAAAGGAAGTACGGCTTTTTAGAATATGTCGGAAAAAGCCGAAGGGAATTGTAATACGTCCAAACAGCTAAAGAATTTGCTGTAAAAACCATTTCCGTGATAAAGACTCATCACATTATACAACAAATATATATTACGTTTTTTCTATATCTAAAGTGATGAGTCTGTTATCTAAACTCAATCGTGTAAAAATGTCTTCTCCTTTGATATTGAAATTGCACACATTAACTAATTTACATGCAAACTATGAGAAAGCTTACGTCTGGTAAGACGACTGCCAGCAATTTCCTCTTCGTACAAAGAGATCTAATCTTTATGTAATTTTCTCTTGCAATTGTGAAATTATTGTTGGCTTTGTAAAGACTTTATATGGAGCTATTCTCTTATCGTAAGCCCAACCCACTTATGAGCAATATAAAGGCACCAATAAACGCATTCTTGGCATTCTTAAAGAAATCTTCTTGGTCGAAGATCAAATCAGCATCTCCTCTGTCTCGCTCAACTCGAGGATTGCTTGTGTTTTTAAAAGGACCGGATCACCCTATTCTACCTTCTCATTTCATAATCAAATACTATTGTATTATAACAGTCACTATACGTCTACTAATGAATAAACCTTTCCCTTGCTATCCAAGACATAAAAACGAAACTTCCCCAACACAGTACATTAGGTTGAAAATATTTACAGAAATTTTGCAATTAATTTTGCATGGTCTTAACTATCTTCACAAATACTTATAATAAGTCTCCTTTCCATCACAAATAATTCTGCTCCTAATTCTATCACAAATAATTCTGCTTCCAAATAATTCTAATTGGTAAAAAAGGTATTGCGGCTGACATTATTGCTTTCTTCCGGCAGATTTACGCCTGGCTATATAATCTGACCAAATATACTGCACTGAATGATCATACGAAACTGCAGGAAGTCTGCCGCAGATACTACAACTCGTTCAGAGATGTCTGAATAAATTTTAATTACTGTAGAAAAGTAAGCGCCAACGTTTTTACGCTGCTGCAATTTGATCATTTCAGGAATGAACTTTGGATGATGAGATAGATCAGCGTCCATCAGGATTACATAATCACCTCGAGCAAATTGCAATCCATGAGCGTAAGCAGTTCCAAGACCTAAAAGTAGAAAAGGCATGCTTTATTAAACATCATAAAATTGAAATGATTTGACCCAATTTTCCATCTTAAGTTCTGGAATAAAAATATCTGAAAGAGATTTTACTGAGCATCAAGTAATCGATGCAATATGAAAATGAGCCAAACATACCTAACTTCCTTGCTCTAGGCCTTAAAATAATTTTATCGCTGCCAAATTCATCTTCTAGTTTCCTAGCCACATCCATTGTTCCGTCTGGGCTGTTGTCATCGATGATAACCACCTTTAAAAATAAGCAGTCTTAAAATTGTATAGTCCCAAGAAAATTATAAAACATCCTAAATCTGCAGAAAGTCCCTTACACCACAAAAAAAAAAAAAAACGGGAAAATACCTCATAAGAAAATTCAGCCTTTCTCATATATTTTTCGATGAGCCAAATACATACAGGCAAATTCTCTTTTTCGTTGTACGTTGGCAATAGGACCGTATAATTCGGATGGCTTCCATCTTTCGACATTCGTGGATTTTGGTGCAACTAAATGTCGATTAATATTAATGCCAACAAGCTTGAATAGGTTGATCACCGACCGATATAAGTGCAAAGGTAATATGAAAATTGTTCTGTAAAAATTAGAACTTCCAAAACTCTCAGTTTGTATTTAACCATTACAATATATCCAACATTTCCACGATCAACTCCTGTCATTCGGGTAAGTTCTGCAAACGCCTTACACTATTAGGAAACAATAATCAACTTTTAAAATGGTAAAATATGTTTAAAAGCTTTGACAAGATAACCATCTCTGCTTACTTCTTTAAATCAGCGTCTCCTGATAACTCTTTACAAAAAAACCACTCACTACTTCCCAAATATTACCTTAAATTTCTCTACAGAGTATGAACTGCATCAAAAAAGTTCGTGCTTACGATAGAAAGGAGAGCATGAAATCAATCGCTCTAGGAAACAGCAACTGCTGCTCTTCAACAAATATGTCGTTTTCCGGAAAAACGGCCTTCGAAAAAGGATGACAGCGCAGACCGTCAGATATAATGGCAAAGACATGAAGACCAACTTCCACTATTTAAAAACAATTACCATTAGCAGTTCATTATATTCATAAATCAGTTTGAACAGAACTTTAGTTTAACTGATAAAAACATGAATTTTGCTGTTCCCAACCTCAACGATGAAAGCTGGAATTTAGAGAAAAGTGCAATCACTGCACTTCGCAACAATGAAACCAAAGAAAAAAAAAGATCCAAAATGATGACAGGGATGAGCCAACGAAATTGTTATCATTCCTTGGAAACAGCAATAAATGTAGGACAAATTAGGAGACAAAAACTTCTGGAAAGGTTGAACATGTATAATAATATCAAAAAATGATGCGAGCAATTCTTTCTGTGAAAAAAACTAATAAAAGACGATATTTGAATTCACAAAAAATTCTGTTTACAAACAGTAATAATCGAATAATTCACGACAATACAACATCTGGAATTAATGCCAGTAAATCTTAAAAAATCGGACGTTTTAAGTTTGTCAAGTGTGAAGATAAAGTATTTTTATTCACAATATACAAGCCAAAGTCTCTGTCTTCAAGTTAAAAGGTCATATTGGTTTTGAATGTCCACAAGAATCGATAAAAGTTCGTATGCCACTTTTCCAAAAGTTCACTTCGATGCACGCATTACTAATGACCAGAAAAACATTATTTTATCGAACCAAAATGCTGCATGCTACTTACGGTTTGTTTGAGCTCTTCCGCCATAAATAAATGTACTCGTCAGCATTAAATCTTACGGTTTCCCGTCTCTTCTGAAAATTAGGTATTTGATGTTAATAACATAATCTGGAAATGTATTGTAGTTTCAAACCTGGATTTCTACATGAAAATTTTCTTTGAAGAGAGATGGGAAAATAGTATTGAAAATAGAAAAGATCCTTACGACTAGTAGTGCTTTAGTCTTTCAGACATTACGATGCGCAAAGTTGAGAAATTAAAAATACGTTCCAGTTTTGCAATTCAAAAAATCCATATGAAAACTTTATAGAAAAGGAAAAAAATATAGCAATAACGTTGCTCCTGAAGACTCAAAGTAAAATAGTTTTTCAAACTGTGTTGTTCGTCTCACCGTGAGTTTCTTAGTTTTATGTCGCTTCATTTCTAAGTGTCGACGTTCTTCATCTGTTAAAGTATCCATGTTAAAAGGCATCTGAATCAAATCCAAAGGTTCCGCAGCTCGTATCTGAACTGTTGATCCATCTGGATGGAGCAGCTGAACAAAAGAAACAAATTTGAGAAATCATGAATGACCAAACCATTATTTACGATATCACTATGCCAATATATCAAGGTAAGAATCCAGTTTTAAACAAATGAAAATTTGAATATGCTGTCAATAAATCGGTGTCGCTTGTAACAATTTAATATTTCGGAACAAAAAATGCAAAAAATTACGGTTACGTGATACTGCCGAATATATTTGGCACGCTTTATTCGAGAAATGGCTGCGCGATGAGCATTGAAACGATCTGAAAATGAAGAAAATAAGAGATATACGTGATGAAAGAGGGATTTACATTGTCAAATAGTTAGCAAATCCTGGTACTTATAAGCAGTATAACATGCGCCAATCAATAAGTAACAAAAGTGACATCAGAAAGAACAAAATTACCTGAACGATAGAAAGTTTTAACAGTGGAAAGCAGAGAAATCATTCGGATGGATGCCGCATTCCTCAGCAACTTCAACATCTTAAACTTCGATAGAATTATTTTAAGAAAAGGATAGGAAGAGAGTTGGAGAGAGATATAAAACATACTAACAAGGACACTTGACCTCATCACATATTGAGAGAAAGTGTAGCTCAAAATGAGAACAAATGATACCTGGATTCCTCAACACTTTACATATATCGTTGCAAACTGTAATGTCAAAGCATGTATGAGGCAGAAACGAAGAGAGCAGAAGAATAAGGGAAATTTTGAAACAGTCTAAAACAAATAAAAGGTAGCGCCGAGATAAGGGCAGAGAAACGGGAGGGGATGAGAAATATGGTATACCTGTGAGAGACACAGCTGTATAAGGATTGAAAAGGGGAGAAAGTGGATGCTAAAGGATAATAGAGGATACATGGGAGAAGTGAGAGATGACCCTTGTCTAAGGCTTCTTGTCAGAGTATCAGGCAGAAGGATAAAAACAACGAACTGACAATAGATTTGCTCTTGAATCGCATAGATTTGTCGTGTGTTAAAGATAAGTATGTGTGGTCCAGTGGTGTAGTGGTTATCACGTCTGCTTTACACGCAGAAGGCCGACGGTTCGAACCCGTCTTGGATCAGCATTGTTTGATGGTGTAGTCAAAGGAGTCCGTTCGCTTTTAATAACATTCAAAAGTATAATAACTTATTGCTTCCCTAATCCAAATATGATGAAAGCTTGTGCATGTTTTAAAAATATTACTGTTATTTCGGATTAATTCAACTTCAATGAAAAAAGGCATAATGATTGACATTGGCCTAACTGGGATTGTGGTCGTTGTTTCCTTCCCTCTTCCATTCATTAATAACGCTCATAAGTTGTCATTCTAAGAGTGCAGGTGTACGGTGCTATCAGTGATAGCGTACGTTCAGTAGAATATTTGAGTTTCTTCATGAGAAAACATTTGTCTCCAGACTTCAGGCAAGCCGAGAATCGTTCCGATTGCGGTAGTAATTCCACAGATTTTCAAAAGTTAGAGTGAAAATAAAGAATTTCCTTAATTTGATTCTCCCTCTCCCGACTTTGATCTTCGACTTTGCGATAACTAAAGACTAAAATGATTGTGATATTCCAACTTTGGAATTAAAAAAAGTAGAATATTCGATAATTCAATTCAATTTATTCGACAAATATGCAACCAACGGGTCTAATGTAAAGAATAAAAAATATGGTCGAAGTGGGTTTGAACAAAAGCCTGAAGCTATTGGATTACTTACTGATCCAAAAGTGATTGCACTATGTCTTGTCATAGCTGAACATTGCATTTTTCCTCGATCTGGTTCTGGCATGGTAGTGGGTGTGCGAACTTTCTCCTTACACTAATAAACATGAGTCGCATGTGGTCGACTGTATTTCTGGACGCAGTGATGGAGTTCTGGGTTGTGGGGGTAGAGGTGATTGAGTAAGTTTTGGTTTCGTTGGGGTGGGGAGGGTTCGTGTTGGGATTTGGAGGTCAGGGGTACTGTTTAGGTGATGGGAGGGAGGTGTTGTTGCTATCGTTCGTTACTTCCCACTTCTCGTTACTTACTGCCCGATTATATGTGTTCTTCACTCTTTTTTTGATTGTTTTAGCTGCCTTCTTATTAACAATCCATTGTTTGACCTTCTGATCAGCGGCTATTTAACCACTTCCGTAATGTCATCCGCAGTCTGTTTTAATGAATATTTTAACGATGTGTTGTGCAGAAGAAGTAATACTGATTCATACCTGTGACAGTTATCATTAATTGTCGATGTTGGTTGTTGGGGAACTTGTCCGTAAAGATTTTTCTCTCTTTTTGAATTAATCATATAGCTTTGGACGTAGAGAGCAAATCAGTTAAATATGTCAATTCAAACTTATGTACATGTGTATATACATATATACGTATATACATGTGCATATATTTAATATATACCCAGAACCCCTAAATATGTGTTTTGGAGTAACATATCTAACTGATTAGGCGATGCACTCGTTGTTTTGCATATTCGAAAAATTATCGTATTTTATGTCAAAGTTTTCAGTATTTGGAACAAGCAACAATTTTTAAAATTTGAAACGTAATATCCCCAGGTCCGAAGGTGACACAATTGCAATGTCACAGTTTGGCCCAAAGAATCCAGCCGCTTGGGCTCGACCACCAGGTAATTTTCGTCTTGTATGTTTTATTCGACTTTTATCAAGGTTTGACTTTTACTTATAGAATTTAAAGTTTGCTAAATGGATGGCAAATACAGTGCTGGCATTTTTCTCGCATCTAGAAATATTATCTTTGGCAGAATTTTTGTCTCTTTATGTATTAACACCATTAATTATTGATTATTACAATCCATTTGTATAAGGCAAATAACTTTTACGTGTTAGTAAGAAGCAGTAGTCTTGCTGTGTTATCGTTTGGCGTTAATTATCTCTACGAATATACAATGTATGATGCAGTTGTTATGCAACATTAAAGTTTAGTTTTTTAACAGTTGTCGAAATTTTGGGGAAAAACTGATTGGCCAATAATATAAATATAAATACAAATTAACCTGTTAGGCTGTGTATTCACTTTCTCGAACAGTAACTGATTATTCTTTATGAGGGTTTTAATAGTGGTTAAAAGAGCAAGAAACAAATAGCACAATCTAACTTTATTTTGAAAATAAATCATTCTTGACTGTGACATCTGACTTTCGAATAGTACTGGAATTTAACCGTTCATGTGGTGATACGAACTTTCAGTTCAAAATTAGTACTGCTGATTAAATCTTTGCAGGAGCTAATCAGCAGCTCAACGCTGGTCTATTCCAGAACCCACTAATTGGTGCACAGCCGTTTGCACAGATGGGTATGATCAATGCTGCTGCTTTCTCTCAGCAAGCAGTAGGTAATATGGGAATGAACCTGGGTATGCTGCAAACGCCGTCACAAACAATTCGAATGCAAGCTCAGCAGCAGGTAGCCAAATTTCTATTATTTTGATATTTTATATCCAGGCACATCGTACATCGTTTCGACATTAACAGGCTAGTTAAAATCTCTTACTGTGTGCAGTTACTTTATTCCGGAGGTTGACCTTAATGACATATTTTTTGAAGAGATTTGTTTCATGTTTGATAGGCAAATACGTCCATAATTCTTAATTCATGTTAGGTTTGCTACATTAAAAAATCTTAATTTTTCAAGGAAAAACTAAGTGCTCTACATTTTGTACTTCATTATTTGAATAAAATGTAGATCGAACCTTTAAAGATTTGGAAGTTCAGTATTTTTAATTCTTTCCACAACATTAGTGGAGAGGTAGGTTGTAGTTATGAAAGCGATGTGTTGAGGCTTAGTGAGATATAATTCGGGAAATTTGCAAAAATGCTATGCTGTCTACTGGATTCACGATGACGCTGCTAATAAATGAGACGGATTGGATGATGGTTACCAGTGCTTTTTTTCATATTTTCTTTTTCATTTTTATTTTTTGAGTTACACAGATGAGTGAGTCAACTTGCTAAACTAATGCTAAACTACCATGATGAGTGGTTGAAAATAACTCAGTATGTTCCTTTTATCAGTTACATTTTATTGCGGTAGTGCAGAATTTTCAGCAAAAAAACCGTACATTCTCGGGTGTGGTTACAAAAATGCACGACAATTATGGGTTTATTGATGACGATGTTTTCTTTCAAGTAAGGTATGTATGAATTACGTACTTTTCTATAACACTGGAATTCTTCAAGATTCCTTATGTGTATGGTTTTTCTTTGTACACTAGTGTTGTTTTTTTATATAAACATGTTTTGTTCATCGATTTTCGGATACGTTTGATTTTGCTATTTTCCTTCTAGAAATCCATTATATAGCATAAATCAGAATAATTTGGTATCGAAGTAATGCTGAGGGTTTACTTTGAGCCGGCTTCATTTTGAACATTCGCTGTTGTTAATATAAATTTGTTAACTTGCAAACTCAGTCATCAGTCGTAAGTACTTCGTGTTAGCCGTCTCCCCGACTGTATTCGAAAAATAGAAAATAAACAGGCACTATAAAAAAAATTACAAAAAAATGAATTTTCTCTTTTTTATTTCTAAAATTTTCGATGGTTGTTTAAAAATTCCTCATATCACAGTTAAATTTTCAGTAATGTTCGCGGTGCCTTACCTCGAACAGGTGATCGAGTTATGGTGGAAGCATCATATAATCCTACTATGCCGTTTAAGTGGAATGCATATCGAGTTCAGTTAATTGGCGATAAAGGTGGTCCAGGTGGTGGTGGACCACCAGCTCATACACCTCCAGAACGTGGCCGCCAACCTATGGCAGGCCGTGGAATGATACCTGCTGAACAGAGTTGGACGGGGAAAACTCTTGAGAAGCCACAAACCGTTACTCATATGAATGACTCTCGTTCACGTGACTTCCGTGCATGTAATTTTTCGAATCTGTCAAATATGTCAAGAGGGTTTTTAAACCCTGTGTTACTTTTCTGAATCTTTCTAGCTTGAATTTTTTGCCTCTTTTTTCTGGATAATTCACACTATTAAAATGACTTTCTTTTGTTGACTTTCTCGTTGTTTAGTTATTAAGTCAAATTCTGAGTTTCTAGCGCCACGTTCTCGTACACCAATTGGAGTAGGCCGACATCGTTCTCCTCGAGGTGGACCATGTGGTCCACCGGCACTGGTACAGGACATAAGACGTCTGAGCCCTCCAAGACGTATTTCTCCACCTCGTGGTCTTGTACGACGATCACCTAGAAGGTTTGTTCTTTATTAATGTTGTGTGGTTCACTGGATATGCAAGAAGATTTTTGAAAAGAAAAAAAAAAACTTCTGTGGAGTCCATAAAAATTTACACGTATAATTTGAAAATTTGGCTTAAATTTTAGGAGGTAAAAATTAGCGGGACTTTTTTTTTTTCTGGATAACCATTACTTAAGGACATATTGATGAGAATTGGATCGAAGGTATTGCATATACAACTTTTTGATTTTGCGGTAGGAAATACGCTCAGTTATCAGAACTGATAACTTCTGAACTCTTGAACTCAACAATTTTTTGTAGAAGTCCACCTCGTGACTACTCGAAAGGTCCAGTGAATCGTGCATCTCCAAAACATTCAACACCAGCACGAAAACATGAAGGGAAGCGCGAGCATTCAGCAAGTGTTTCGGGACGTAATCGATCTCCTTCACAGAAACATGATCCAAATACTCACGATAGTTTATCTCCCCCTCGTCGACGTGCGCGCATTATACCGCGCTATCAGTGTTATATTCCGAAACCACCAATTCTGTAGGTTTATTTTTTGTAGCCTTTCACTTAGCTGTTTTTGTTTCTTTTCAATAAAATTAGGGAAAAACTTTCAGAAGTCGACTTTATATACCTTAATTCTTAACGTCCTTTTTTGGTTTTTGTTCTAAGCTGTGATATAACGCATGTATTTAATGAAGAAATGGGACGAGGCAAACCGTAATGCAGCTGCGTAAACGTTATCCGTTACTCTACATCCCATCAGATTTTTCCGATGTTAGCATTGAATGGCCAAAAACTACACCGATCGAAAATCCGATATCGGTTTCCACGGCGCCCATCACTTACCATGTTTTGCATAGGGATATTGATTGCCCAAGTGAAAACTTGCAAGCTCTGAATCCCCCAGATGCGGATTACCGGTTTTCTGTTAAGGTTGAACTTTTTTTCTACTTAATTGATTTTCGAGTGTCACTGCATCTAATATTTCTCAGAAAGCTCAGTTTAACTTCTTCCCAGAATAGATTTGTCTTGCAATTGCTTATCAACTACGTGCTTCATTATCAAAACTTTTTTAGTGGATAATGTCAGAGTAGCTTAAATTTTTTAGGTTGTCTTAATGAGTCATCAAGGCCTATCATTGGTGCACCAGAAAGCATTTGGTTTACAAGTTGACGGTTCAATTGATGAAAACATTGATCCGGCTTCGCTGAAACGTTGCATCAACTTTGTTGTTGGTGAGCATTTCTGCTAAATTTTCAGCAAATGGTATAAGTCAATCATCTTTATTCGTTGAAAAGACGAATAACATAAATTGCTAAATTTATCAACGGAATTTTTTATAAGATTAAGAAGTTATTTTCCTGCTTCGATCTTTTATTTTGATTTTTTGCTGCTCTGTATGTTTTCTGCCACATTTACTGGATGCCCTTTTATAGAAATATTCAATGTAGAGTTTGCATATCTTCAACTTAATTAAGGAACTAATTATCATAGAAATCCGATTGCAGGTACGCGTAACAAAGAAATGATGGCAATTGGTGGTGCTTGGTCACCATCACTTGACGGCGATAATCCCGAGTCAGATCCCCAAGTTTTTGTCCGTACTGCAGTTCGGACTGTTCGGGCTTTAATTGGAGTGGATCTTTCCAAATGTCCTAGATGGTATGTAGAAGATTTCTTGTGCTCATCTTGTGACTTGCTTTTCAGTCTTGACAAATCATGAAGGAAATTTCATGTGCTGATTTCCTTTGATATTATAGGTATTCAGTAGGCGAAATTGAGGGGATCATAAATTTCTTTCATTTTTTCCCGAAACTTTAATAAAAATAAGTGCTGGAATAAGGAGCACATCACGGAAGATCAAAATAGCGACTTAAGTTGGTAAGTGGACATTTTGAGAGATGCAATTCTATTTACTATGCATAAGGCTACGCAGTATGGTGTCTTCGGTATAGTGACGAAGTAACTAAGAACCTCCTGCTCCAGTGTTCTATTTTATTAAGTGACTTTGAATTCTAACTCGTATAAAAGCTGTTTTCTTAGAATATCGTAATGCTTCTATGCGACAGTGATGCAATGGCTGAATGGGAGAAACGGCTGCTGAAAACATTTTTTTCACTTGCATGACCTAAGTTTTCAGTAGTTTACACAACTCGGTTTACACTATGCAGCTTTAACCTTTTAGGAGGATAAAGAAGCTGTGTTTGTGAAACTCTACAAAGCTTTCAACTTAACTAAGATGTAAATTTTACATTATCAATCTTGTCAGGTAGATCTAGTGTGTAATTCAACTTTTTTTTGGAGGAAAGAGAAAAGAGGAGGCATCATTGTAGTGATAAGCTGAAACAAAGTTTTGAGAAACCACTGTGAACCCTCAGGTACAAAATGGCGGAGATTCGTTACTATCGTGCTGAGAAAGATCGAATGGATACATGCTGCTTGTTTCTGCCGGACACCAGTGGTTTGATGCCCACCGAAGACTGCTATCAACAGTTACTGGCTACGCTAAAGGATCAGCTTGGGAACAAACTTGCTGCTCTAGATGCTCAAAAACTCGTTCTACCATCCACTGTAGCTGCTCTTGCTACAGATTCTGGAGATGCTGGGGAGGGAACTACAACTACGACCGAGCCAGTGGCTCAAGCTGGTGATACTCAACAGCAACTGCAGCAGGGACAACAACAAATTGATGCCAACAAGGAGCAGGTGAAACCACCTAATAAAAAAGAAAAGAAAGAACAAAACACCATTCACTTTGAATTCTTTATTTTTATCAATATTAATAATTATCTAAGCGTTTTATGTGTGTTTTGCTTGGTTTTCCATTTTCTGTTTCATTTTCGTTTTACTTTAAATTTTTGTTCGGTTTGATTCGTTCCACTTTCTAGTTCTGCATTGTTTTCCAGTAAATCACTGGGAATAAACAACCGTACTTTGTTCAGAAGTTCATAAGCACCACTCAGTTGTTCAGTGAATGTCTTCATGTATTCTTGCCTTATTATATATCGCCAAATTAAGATTTTCAGATTTAACAATTAAAACTGAGGAATTAATGCTTACCTTAGGTTTTCGCATGCTTTGCACTTTTCTAATAAAATAAAAAACATGGTAAAGCTGATTTAATTGTTGGTTATAGTTCCGATAAGTATAAAATTTCTTGGTTGATGCATTTCAACACGTGTAGGAAGTTCCACTTACCTGGTAGGATTTTTTGAAGTTTGTTGGGTCGCTTATGGTTGGCATATAGTCTCTTTTCCATGTCTCTTCCATGGGATATCAATGTCTGTTATGTTTTATCGGCTTCTTCGTTTTTAGGTGCAGGAAGTGGAAGAGGATGATGATGAAGATTTGAATCCAACTCACTGGTCTAAATTGGATATCAGAACAATGAAGGTTGGTTATCGTCTTCTCATTTTCATTTTATTTAAAACGTTCGGAAGAAATTTCAGATATCATGCACAGGAATCATGCAACATTTGCAGATAGATGTTTACTGAATGTATTCATTGACGCCTTGTTTATGCATTACTTTTTTTCTTGAACCAATCTGTTTTATTTTTTCTTTTTATTTCTCTTTATTCTAGTACAACTCTATTGTTGGTTGCTTGTGTTATATTTTGTGAGCAGAAACTGATGCGTTATTAACGTACCTTTAAGGGAGGATTAATGAATTAATGGTACAGAAAGGAGCATAAAATGAAAATATGGTTAATCCATTTTTAGGTTGCTGAATTGCGGCAGGAACTGATGGCTCGCGATTTGGAGACAAAAGGAGTGAAATCAGTCTTATGCGCTCGACTTCAAGAGGCACTTGATCACGAGAAAACAAAAGACGAAGATAAGGGGGATAAGGTGTTTGTTTACAAATATTAGCCGTAGAGGTGATGAACAAAAAATGAATTTGTATCTTTATAGCTTATGCAGTTTTTTTGTGATTTGCGTTCGCACTTATACGAAGCTATCTAAAATTGCAAATGAGGCAGCATTTTAGCTCCCATATTTGAAAATGATTGGGAAAAGCTTCTTATTGATTTTATTCAGGCTGAAGTAGCTAAAGTGAAAGAAGAAGAAAAGGAAGAGAAAGAATTGACAGATGAAGACAAAAAAGCTATCGAAAAATTCGTACGTTCCATTCAATATTTATTAAATTATTTAAGGAATGTTTATTAACGGTTATTTATTAATGCTATTTGAAGTACGTTTTCTGTAAGCTTAGTAATTATTTTAATAAAGAATTTCTCGCTCGTATTAACTAAGCTAGATAAGCGATTATGGGTTGTTAGTTCTTTCAGTTGTTGCATTTGCATTTGTTGCATATTGTTTGTTGCCTCAGTTGACATGTAAGCTTTCAAAAAAAGTAAAAATATGAAGTGATAATCTTTGTACATCATACAACTACGATTTTATATTAATTTAATTTCTAGGAAAAGGAAAAGAAAGAAAAAAAGGCTTCACTAGAACGTCATTTCACTATTCCAAAAGAACTAGGAATATTGGTTCATCCGAATCGTATGGCCAAGGGAGGAAAGTTTGACTGTAAAATTGTATCCCTTCACACAATGTTGGATTATCGCACTGAAGATAATAAGGAACATTCTTTTGAGGTACTTTCCGCGATGATGCTCTTGATTTAAATATTTATTTTAATTTTTCCCTTGAACTTTACCAACTGTTTACCCAGTACTCAAAGTTAGATCTGGAAATTTTTTTCATTACACTGTACAAATTCGTTGGAGTTTGGGTACGGTAAAATTATGGATTTCAATCAAGTGGATTCAATGAATAGATAAATTAGACAAGATGCTTAGCCTGTAATGTGAGCCTGTTCCTTTAAGTTCATATCTAGTCGTTCTCCCATAAATCCATGCTCTTCCCAACAAACTTTCATTTTCTTTCTTTTTGGTTTCTAATTTTGAATCGTGAGTACAATTCTCGAAACATAGCATTGAAGCATGAATTTTTTTCAGCTTGCAGTTATGGCAGAATGCATCAGTGAAATGTTGGATCGATCACAGGCGTTCGTTGCCTACAAAACATTGAGCTGTGCTGTGGATAAAGAGTCAGAGAAGAAACGTCGTGAAGAGGCAAAGCTTGCGGAAATTATAGGAGCGGAAGGTATCGTTTTACTTTTATGAGAATAAATGTTAGGTCTCAGGTATTTTGATCTGGATCTAAAATGAGCTTGAGATGTTTAAAATTGGTGACAATTTCTTTGTCTTCAGAAGGAACAGATAGTGCCAAAGCAGATAAGACTGAAAAGTCCGAAGAGGAGAAAAGGAAAGAAGACGAAAAAAGAGAGGAAGAGCAAAGAAAATTTCTTGCTGAGGCACGAAAGCCAATTATTATAGATCGAACAGTCTTTCAGGCTTTCGCTCACTTCGACCAGAATCTTTGCGGGTTTGTTTTAGGAATAGTATTACAGAGATTACAAGGACAACTAAATATTCCGATCCCTTGTGTACTGTTACGGTTGCTACATATTTGGAAGATTTGTTACCGAGAAGGTCGTGGATTCGATCCACATTCCAAACTGGCGATGCTAGAGGTTATAAAGATTATGAAATGCCGATTTTTCAGGTATATCTTGGAGAAAGATTTTGAGGAAATACTATTTTCCATAGGTCTGAACATTTCTCGAGCACAAGTGCAAAAGCTGCTAAAGAGATATTTGTCACGCGATCGTATAAGTTATCGCTATCTCACCGATAGTTGGGCAAACAAAGATGGCACGGTAACATACAGACCCGGTGTAATATCGGATCCACCTACTACTGAGCAACTGGCGAAGGGTAGTTTGTTTGCAGCCTTTCCGTGTTTTCGTTTGTTTTTTCTTTTGTTTATTTTTCTGCTCTGTCACTATTTTAAGCCCTCATTATATTGCTTTTCATAACTACTCGCGTTTATTCCCATTTACTGGTCAAAACTTTCAGAGTATCAAGTTTTCCGTTTGCTTCATTATGTTTTATAATTTATCTTATTGTTCAAGGTAATATGTCGAAGGAATCGGTAGATGCTAACAAAAAAACAGTGGGTGAAGCACCGGATATTAGTACAACAGGATCTGTAATATATTTGGGTTCACTTATGAATATACCGCAAGTTTTGGAGCAAGTTTCAAGGGTGGAATCTGATGCTAATGCTGCTTTACAAAAGGTCGACGTATTAGAGGCACAACTAAGTAATTGTTAAAGATTCTTTACGTATTGGAACAGTTTTTGCAAGGTTACTTATCGTGCAGTAAAGATAAATAGTGATTGCATCATAAGCATGGATTACTGATGTTGAAATCGTTTTCATTCTACAGAAGATGGTGCGAAGCACGTTCAACTACTAGAGAAAAAGAAAAAGAGATTGGAAGAAGATGTTGAAAAATATCGAAAGCGGTTGCATGACGCAGAAAAATGTTTGAAAGTTGGCTGTTATCCTCTCTTTCTGAACTTTAGAATGGTCGTTTAATGTGTCGAATTCACTGAATAGATAAGCAGTACCAATTTTAAATCTTCAAATTGATTCGTCAAATTGCAGAATTCTGTGGATGATACTGTACAGATGAAAAGTGCAATCCAGGAATTTCGACGAATCGGCGAACGGATGATGAGCATGGCTGAAAAATTAATGCCAAATCCGAAAGAAGACGAAAAGACCTCTGAAAAGGATGAGAAAGATATGAAAAAGGAAAAAAAAGATGATAAAGATGAGAAGAAAGTGCCAAAAAAGGTTTTTTATGCACTTTTTAATATGTTTTTAAATTAGGTTTTACGAACCTGTTGGTATAAGAAAATGTTGGGAAATGGATTGTTTTTGGTGCGTTAGAAATTTTAAGGAAATTTGCGAGAAAATTATAGATTTCAGAAGGACTCAGTTCCTGCTAAAGTAAACGGTGAAGCCGAAGAAAAGAAGGAATTGCAGCTAGTGGATGAAGTTGGTGGTAATGATGTTGGGGACGAACCTATGGAATCAGACGTTATTGTATTGTCAGAAGAAGTAACAGGTGACGAAGAAAAGGATGTTAAGAAAGAAACCTTGTCATCACAGAAGATGGATTCTACAACTGGAACTCTGGAAGCCGATGCTATAACTCCGCTTGCATAGAAAGAATAAATAGAAATTAAAAGCGATTCAATTATTAGCATGCTGTATGTTTAAAAATTTATTAATTTTTCAATTTCTTGAAGTATCGGTTTGGAGTTAGGAATGGGAACTGTCTTCTCTCAGTCAGTTTTCATTTGTTTCAAAACATGAAAATTTGTTGAAGAATCGCTGTCACTTGTGTTTTAATATGCTGCAGTTGCCAGTGTCGGCTTTTGTCTGCATTTTTTGATAAATTTTCATTTGTATTAGTTTCTTTATACTAACCACTTGCTTTGGACGATCCCTTATTGATATTTTTTTGCTGCTCTTTTTTTTCTGCATTCTTGCCGCTTCTCTCCTCTACACCTCTCCGTTTCAGGTTTGCAAAGTAGGATGGTAATATTGCATGAACGAGAAGAATTAGGAACTTGTTAGCAAACATTCATATTTTCTGATAGGAGAGATTCTCGAACAGTTTATATCAAATGCTAAATTTATGTGAAGGTTTTCCTAACGACAGATCAATTTTTTGTGTCATTTGTCATCAGATGATTTTAATCTACTTCGCATTGTTTTATTTCTGTTGTTAGGAGTGTTATGTGTTCCCTCATCTAATCGCAGTAGTGGCGTGACAGATTATTTCCCTATGTTTTAATCGTGTTGATAATTTTTTAATAATTTGTTGTAGCACATTTGATTACAACTCAAAATTAGATGTGAAATGAAAAAAGGAGTACAGTATTGCAGAGTATATTCATCTGACTGGAGGTGGCATTTAAAAAAGAAATATCCTGATAATGAGTTACTTGCAAAGTTGGGACTTTTCCATAATGGGCACTGATACTAAATGCGTAATAACGTGATTGGTGGACAACATGAATTCTCTCACATTATTGATCCTTATCGCATCTAGACCATCCTATTCTTGATTTTGTTAGTACCAATTACTGTCTACCTCGAGACATTTCATCAAAAATGTTGGTCTCATTTTCAACGGCTTTGGTTTGCATGAACATTTTTTTTAGCTATTTCTGCAACATTTTAGAGAATTGCAGCTGAACTGTGTTCGCAATCGAGATAGTTAATGCAAGATAATATGTAGAACGAAGAATTGGCGAAATTTTAGAGGGACAACTCTGACCGCAAACTTGGGCAGAGCTTGTTTAGCCCTGTAAGGCCATCCATCCCAGAGAAAGATACTATAACTAAATCTACTTCGCTGCCACTGCCAAACTCGTTAGGCCCTGGCAGATGAACCTAGGAGTGAAGGGCACGCTATGCCTCATCTAAGAAATCCATTACGCAGGTTGAAGGAAAAACCGAATTTTTAAAATCCTGTAACGACAGGCCAAGGAACGAAACGGCAGCTGATAAGATGCTCCGGAAGCCGCAGACCTAATCCTTATGCAGACGGTTCAGGACATTGGTTTCTCGAGATTGATTCTGAGAGACAGTCTTGTTCGGCAACATCCTGAACAACCAAGCAGTCTTTTCCAAGGACAGCAGCTTGCTCCACACGGAGGGGACTCAGGAAAGGTAGCCTAACCAAAGCTGATTTCCATCTCCACCGGGTTGGCTAACCGTGGCCAATGGGCATCTTCTGATGTAGTCGAATAAAAACAAAAAGACAGAGGCATATACCTGCCTCCAAAGGTGCATTCGGATTGAACTCGTATATTGGAAAATCAGAACGATGCGTGATAATGCAAATAGTGGCCGTCCTGAAGTCTTCTGCCCTAACTGCTCACTCTGCTCTCAGTGAAGTTCATTTCTATGAGGACGATAATCTCAAAGAACACGTACCGGCGCTCTGCTGATTAGGAAAACCCAAAATTAAAAGTCACTTTTCTGAAGTTAGCTTCATAGTTAAAAACTTCTCGCTTTCAAACTCGAGAATCCTTTCAACGGATCATTCCGACCACATTATGTCCCTACGATTCCCACTACACAGCAAGCAACAAGTTGTTTGCTTCAGCATATATGCTCCAACTTTACAAGCAGTCTTTATGGCAAAAAATTCCACACCGACCTCTGTGTCTAAAAGATTCCAAAAGGTTCTTACAAATGATAAAGTCATAATCCTTAGTGACTTTAACGCCATGGTTGGAAAGAACTCCGAAATCTGAAAAGGAGCAAGGTAGCTAGTTTTAGGCAAGCTAGTACTAGAAACTATAACGATAACGGACAGCTTCTGCTAGAGTTCTGTGTAGAACAGCAACTCACCATCATAAACAGCAGAAAGACAATGCAAATTTAATTCCCGCTTTAAATCCAAAACCGTTTCGCATTTGTGTGATTGCTAATTTACCACCATCTTCTACAGACCTTCTGTATAAGGATATCCATCGTTTCCTGTAACTATATTGGATATTAATGCTCAAGGATATTGCTTAGAGCATTTTCCTAGTACACAGGATGAATTTAGAATCAGTGTACTGCAAGATCATATTCTTCCTCACAACTTCATGTAAACCCTTATCAATATCGGCATTGGATATTTCAACGCCTATTACATCGTCGATTTTGTTTGAAGTAATTTTGTTATAGAACCAGATTAGTATATATGCATATGGCAATCCTCTCTTTTTCCATTTCATTGAGTATATCTAAGAGCGCACAGATCCAAACATTTCATGAAATCCATCAGCAATTACTTAGGAAGTAAGATCTGTTTCTCAAGTTGGATGGTATATGAATGTAATGATAAGTTCGGATACCTGTAGTGATGAACATATGCAATTGTA